GCCCAAAACTCGCGTTTGAATCATCAGTGGCAAATCCTTTAAATTAAAACGTACTTACAGACTATGAGTCAGAACTGCCGGCATTGAAGTCTACTCTTCCAGGATCAGGAAAATAACACTCCAAAGAGAAAGGAAAAATTTTTATCGCATCATATGACCCCTTTAAGACTGGTTTTGTGGTCCAGGGTCACAAATGATATTAACCACTAGAGGGCCTACTTTGCAAAAAAAACAAAAACATGCCTGGTTCCTTAATAGCAGTAGATTGACATTTGCTTCCCTTTGTCCCTTAACCCTTGCTTTTCTTAAGGTTTAAAACGCAGTATTGTGCATTTGTCATATTTTATTTAATAATTTCATACAAATATTGAGCTATTTGTGTGTGCTTTACTTAATTAACTCACAAATACAAAAGAAAAATAAAGAAGACGGCTTGCTGCATCCCTCAAATTTTCATCCCACACAATGCATACACTCTTGTGAAATCAAATCCAAAATATTAAACACAGCACTCAATGTGGACAGACACACCATCAAATGATGACAGCAACCAAAAAAAATATTCCTCTCTCCTATAAATGCATAAAAATATCATGCACACATAAACAGCACCAGCTCCAAATAATCAACAGTATGATTAAATGCTGTTAATTAGTCAATTAATTAATGACTGTTAATTGTTAATTACAGTATAAATACTGTTTAAAGAAAGCAAAAGTAAATTAATTAATGAAAGAAAGAAAGGTTCATTCTTATGAAATGAAATTGACTAAAATGAGACCTAAGCAAAGCAGCAGTGCAGTCACATTATTAGATGTATTTGTTAAATAAATGGAACCCTTTGATGTGCAGTTAAGCCCGTCGAACATGAAACAGCAAAATTACTAATAAAACAACCATAAAACAGACAATGTGTAATAATGGCAATCATACATACCAAGAAATTATACTAAGCAAATAAGCCTCGTCAGATTTGTGTTCCCATTTTGTTGTTTTCCTTCCCATGTGTTCCTTGTTTTCCCTCTTGTATCATTATGCCCTTTTTTGGTCCTTCCTGTTTCCTGTTCCCATTATGTTTATTGATCCCAGGTGTTTCTCGTCATTCCCTCGTCATGTCGTGTATTTAAAGCATTTCCTTTTCTGAGTTGGTTGTCCGGTATTGAATGTTTGTTCTAGTACTAGGTGCGTGCGTGCCCGCGTGACCGACCGACCGACCTGTGTTACCCGAAGTTGGGCAGTAGCTACAAACAGACACGTGGCACATATCGATCCCACTGTAGAAAAGAAGTGTCCCTTTTGTGATTTGGAGGAATCAGTTGATCACCTGTTCTTAATTTGTTCTAGATTGAGAGGTGTATTTTAGATATTAGAAAACTACAGGTGCATCTCAATAAATTAGAATGTTGTGGAAAAGTTCCATGCCACGCCGAATTGAGGCAGTAATTAAAGCAAAAGGAACCAAAATCATCACAATTAAAAGAGCCAAAGACTTAAACTACTTCAGTCTGTGTGCATTGAATTTATTTAATACACGAGTTTCACAATTTGAGTTGAATTACTGAAATAAATTAACTTTTCCATGACATTCTAATTTATTGAGATGCACCTGTAGATTGGAAAACTAGGTGAAGAGTTCAATGATAATATTTTCATTTTTGGGCTGAATTATAAGGCTTCAGATAAGAGAAGAATTGGTATAATTAATTTTTTAATAGCGGAAACCAAAATGGCAATATGGGTAACAAGGGAAAAAAATATCAATTAAGAAGTTTTGGTAGACCCTGATATAATATTAAGAGCTTTTGTGACTTCAAGGATTAGAGCAGAATTTGTGTATTTTAAACTGACTAAAAATCTGGCTTGTTTTATGGAAACATGGGGTTTAAGTGATGTGTTGTGTACTATGGATCATGAGGAAAACCTAATTCTTAATTTTTAAATTTGGTGGTAGGTAATTAAATGTTGTGTAGAATTGATGTGTTATGTGATGATGATTGATAATTGTAAAAAAAAAAAGAAGGAAAAAATAACGTAAAAAAAAAAATAATTTTGTATAAATAGATATAAACGTCAACGTCTCTCTCTCTCTTGCTATAGCGCATAACTTAAAGTTCACTGTCATTTGCATCCTTTGTGCAGATACAAGTTGTAATATTACGTCTATGTTATGTTATTGATTAATATCATAGGATGTGTCATAAAATGGGCTTCAGTTTATTGGCATATAAAGTCACTCTTCAGCTTCACCCCAGGCAGCTATACCTTCTTAGATGCTCCTTTTTAATAACATTGCTGCATCATAATCATAATCTAAGTGTTCTCATGTGTTCATGTTTTCATATACAGGTTTTTATTTTAACATTCATTTTCATAACAGTCTTTAGATATTTTCATTATCTCCATTATGGTCATGCCCCGCCCCCCGTTCAAGCCCCACCCCTGAGTACTCGTTTTTGAAAGCTATCGATGATCGAAATGAGAAATTTCCCAAAATGCCCATCCCTAATATGGTCACCTAACCTGGAGAGATGCCCTTAAGTACAGACAGAAGTGAAGGCTAAGAATGATGTGGTTATCATAATAGTGTACACTGTCAGCCCACTCTTGATATCGGTATATCATTCCACAATAGAAGCACTTTTTAAAGAATGTTGATATACCTAAACATTTGACACAAATAAATTTTAAGACAAAAAATGATATTAGTTAAAATGTGTCTTTGTTTCTACTTTTTTAATGCATAAATATTACACAATAACAAGGAATTTGTTCTGTATAGCTTGTGTTAGTGTTAAAAGTTTTGCACTTTTTGTTATGAGAATGGGGTCACTAAGGACTCTTTGTCCCCTGCATTCTGAACAAAACATTTCAGAGGGTACAAATTCTTTTGGAGGGTGGTGCTCAAATGATGGTGTCAATACATCCTTGGGAAGTTTGGCTGGCAACTTCTTGAATTTTTGGATGTATGTTGCAGTTCTTAACAACTCTTTTCCTAGTGGATACCTATCATGTGAAACCTCCCCCTCTTCCAGATAATTGCTTGCGGTATCCTCCACTGGTTCTGTGGATTTAAAAGATTTGAACAGATGGCGTTTGTTTTGGATTAAAAACCATTTTGCTATGCTATGTACCATCACTCTCCCAACATGACTATAATATGATGGTCTTTGCTCCAAAACAGAAACATAGTGGACTGTGTCAGGTCCAATGTTCACAGATATAGCAAGTGGAGCAAAGCCAGCATTCTTAACCCGTTCTAAACACATGGCTTTTTTTTCTTCTCCAAACTAATGTGCAGCCACCATTTCATTCAGTGTGTTTTCTTCCAGAGTACAATAACTGGAAGGCACAGAACAATAATCCAGTGATCGTAGATGGCAACATCGAAATGTCTGGTGTCCACTTCTACCAGCAACTTCTGAGTAGAGGCAACACTCCTCAAGCTCACACTCAATGTGCTGTTTTGGCCCTTGAATGCTATGCTTCACATGAATAGGAACAGGAGGTCCACGAAATGCCTTTGCCACTGCATAAATGCCTGATTGTGGGTCTACAGCCTGACTCTGTAAGTGGTATTCTTTTGTGATGTCTGGGAACTTTGAAGAATGCCTTTGCTTATGGTGCTTCAGATTTTTCAAATACAAAAACATATTGCAGTGAGGACACTAAACAATCATTTGGCTTAATTTATTAACTCTAACAGGGCGCTGGGTCACATTATCACAATGAATACTACCAGGCTGGTCTTTCACAAAGGAGACACTGCCGGGGCTCAATGTGGAGACACTGCTAGGGCTCAAGGTGGAGACGCTGCCGGGCTTCGATGTGGAGACACTGCCAAGGCTGAAGGTGGAGAATCATCTGGGGCTCGATGTGGAGAAGCTGCGGGCTTCAATGTGGAGATGTTCCTGGGGCTTGATGTGGAGATGCTGCCGGGGCTCATGGTGGAGATGCTGCCAGGGCTCAAGGTGGAGGCGCTGCCAGGGCTCAAGGTGGAGAAGCATTCGTGGCTTGATGTGTAGACTCTGCCGGGCATCAATGTGGAGACATTCGCAGAGCTTGATGTGGAGACACTGCTGGGCTTCGATGCGGAGATGCTGCTAGGGCTCAATGTGGAGATGCTGCCAGGCTTCGATGTGTAGACGCTGCCGGGCATCGATGTGGAGACGTTCGCAGGGCTTGATGTGGAGACGCTGCCAGGCTTGAAGTAGAACACACCTACTCACTGTCTGGTTCACCGCCAATTAATTCCCGTATATTGCGACACCATTGGATTAGAGTGCTGTCAATTTCACAATGCTCCCAACGCCATTGGATTAGAGTGCTGTCAATTTCACAATGCTCAACGCCATTGGATTAGAGTGCTGTCCAGTGTTGCAAACTTAGCGACTTTGTCGCTATTTTTAGCGAGTTTTCAGACCCTTCTAGTGACACATTTTCAAAAAAGCGACTAGCGACAAATCTAGCGACTTTTTCTGGTGTTATTGGAGACTTTTGGCGACTCTGACGTGAAAGCATGTATCGTGGTTACAAGTGTCTGTGTACAAATCGTCGAGAGAGACGGTGAGCGTGTTGAGCACATCGCTGGACGACGGACTACAAGAGCACTGAACGGCGTGTATTACAAGTTCTACCAGAAAGACTCAGGAGGTGAACATAGAACTCCAAAGTATTTATTTACAAAACCAATACAAAGAACAGAATTATTTTGGCGTAGGCCCCATCCGTAGCTTGAATCAGACATTGTAGATTCCAGCTATTCCTGCCGAAGACGAAGGCAGGGCGGAGCCTACCCCCAAAAGAAAGAAGAAAATGAAATACCCACCAGACGAAGTATTTCTTAAGATCCTAGAACATATGGACAAAAGAAAAGAAAAGATGAGATTTAATTAGTCAATGTACAACGAGCGTTAAAGAATGTATCAGATTATAGCTTAAAGTATTAGCTTATACAGTAGAGGAGATGGGCCATAGAGGCCTCAGAGAGAGAGGCCACGATAGGCCAGATAGTGACAGAGGCCACGATAGGCCAGATAGTGACAGAGGCCACGATAGGCCAGATAGTGACAGAGGCCACGATAGGCCAGATAGTGACGCCCCGATAGGCCTCAGTGGGGAAAAGGCCCCGATAGGCCTCAGTGGGGAAAAGGCCCCGATAGGCCTCAGTGGGGAAAAGGCCCCGATAGGCCTCAGTGGGGAAAAGGCCCCGATAGGCCTCAGTGGGGAAAAGGCCCCGATAGGCCTCAGTGGGGAAAAGGCCCCGATAGGCCTCAGTGGGGAAAAGGCCCCGATAGGCCTCAGTGGGGAAAAGGCCCCGATAGGCCTCAGTGGGGAAAAGGCCCCGATAGGCCTCAGTGGGGAAAAGGCCCCGATAGGCCTCAGTGGGGAAAAGGCCCCGATAGGCCTCAGTGGGGAAAAGGCCCCGATAGGCCTCAGTGGGGAAAAGGCCCCGATAGGCCTCAGTGGGGAAAAGGCCCCGATAGGCCTCAGTGGGGAAAAGGCCCCGATAGGCCTCAGTGGGGAAAAGGCCCCGATAGGCCTCAGTGGGGAAAAGGCCCCGATAGGCCTCAGTGGGGAAAAGGCCCCGATAGGCCTCAGTGGGGAAAAGGCCCCGATAGGCCTCAGTGGGGAAAAGGCCCCGATAGGCCTCAGTGGGGAAAAGGCCCCGATAGGCCTCAGTGGGGAAAAGGCCCCGATAGGCCTCAGTGGGGAAAAGGCCCCGATAGGCCTCAGTGGGGAAAAGGCCCCGATAGGCCTCAGTGGGGAAAAGGCCCCGATAGGTCTCAGTGGGAATGGCCCCGATAGGCCGCAAAGAAAGGCCACAAAGGCCGCTGAGAAAAGGCCTAGATAGGCCACGGATGGAGACGCCCAGAAGGGCCATAGTGAGAAAGCCAAGAGGCCGTAGAATGAAATGCCTCAGTGGGCACAGAGAGGAAGGCCATGTAAATAGGCCACAGTGGGAAACGCCACAAGATAGGCAACAGAGGGGAAGGCCACGAAAGACAGGCCACAGAAAGAAAGGCCAAGTTAAGGCGCAGTAAACCATAGAGGTTGTTGGGAGTAATATGAATGGGTATTATACCACCACCAGTAATTGCATATAGAGGACAGCTTGAACAGCTTGATATTATCGGCTGAAACCTTTGAGATGGTTTGTGGTTCAGATCTAATGTATGCGGAGGATGAGGAGGATGACCATCTTCCCAGTAGCTTGAGGCTGATGTTTGAACTCCACGTTCAACAGCAGTAGTGGCCGGTGTATTGAGGCGGTGACAGACTGCAGCTTCTAAAAGGTGACTAAATGGAACTGAACCGGCCGCAGAGAGAAAGGCCCCGATAGGCCGCAGAGAGAAAGGTCACGATAGGCCATGAGAGAAAGGCTACAAAAGGCCGTAGAGAGGATAGCCACTAAAAGCCGTGACGGAAGGCCCAAGAGGTGGTGAAAGAGTAGATGTAATGAATAGGTATGACACCACCACCAGTATTTGCTTAATTTGCCTTAAACATACAGCATTACGTTTTAACAAAAGCATAAATATTTACAACGAATGACTGTATGAGCTCTCTCATGACGGGCCACATTATGCCATTTAACACAAAGACAGCGTAGTTCATGTAATGAGAAAAGTCATTACCGGCCAATTTTGCGAAGGACAATGATAGGCAGAGTTACGTAAACAATAATAGTCACACTTACCTGATTGTCGGAATAGGCCAAATTGAGCAAAGGCCGCGATAGGGTGAGTAATGTGAAACCTCGATAGCCATGTGAAGTGAAGGCCTGGCGGCTGCAATTACATTGATAGCCTGTGTATGTTTCTGTAAACTATGTGATGTGAAAGCCCCGTGTGTAAATGACCACGATAGGCAATGTATGTGAAAAGCCGTGGTAGACTGGACATGAGGAGCATGTTAGAAGTAACCACCATCGGTAGTTTGCTAAGAGTATCATACTGTACCTTGAGAATTACATGAAATAGTTTAGAGTCTGATCTTGACGGACTTCGGATGAGGACAACGATCATGTACATAGCAGTTTGATGGCGGATTACAGGAGTTCTAAACCACCACATTGTGTTAGAGAGGCCATTGGTTTAGGTTAAATAATAGAGGTAGTATTAGGGTTCTAACAGCGACTAAGAAAGAGCATATAAACAGATACGTAAACATTCTTTAGGCTAGACTCCTGCGCACGCTTGATAGAACTCCATCTAACTGCCGGAACCCACAGAGGAAACCTATCCCCCAAAAATAGAAAATGTGCCAGATCCGCATGATCATAAGTAGAGAGATACTCAATGTTAAGCGCAGTCCCCGATAGGCCGTGATATGTGAAGGCCACGATAGGCCGAACTTCATAAACGGTAATGGACAAACTAACCCGATGACCACCATAGCAGAGTTATGCAAAGTGCCACAATAGTCCGTGTAATGTGAAGGCCACAACAGCCGAGTAAGTCCGAAGCCAATATTTAACCATAGGAACCCGACGAGTGAACCTTCAAAGAAACCAGATCGCATGAAATACAAGTTAAAGAAATATTAGGAATGTATGGAACTAGGACGAGATAGAAAATTAAATCTTAAATAAATAAGAACGCTTTTTGGGGAAGTCGTGGCCTAATGCTAGAGAGTCGGACTCGACAAACCCAAAGGCCGCAGGCTCGAGTCCCGCACCGGCAGGGATTGTAGGTCGGGGGAGCGAACGCACAGCGCTCCCTCCCACCCCCAACACCACGACTGAGGTGCCCCTGAGCGAGGCACCGAACCCCCAACTGCCCCCCCGGTGCCACAGCAAAATGGCTGCCCGCTGCTCCGGGCGTGTGCACCTCGGATGGGACAAATGCAGAGCACCAACTCCGAGCATGGGTCACCACACTTGGCCACACGTCACGTCACTTTCACATTTAACAGCGATGCCTTACTAGCCGATTAACTTCAATAGCTATTGAACCCTGTAGGCCACGGGCTCGAGTCCCGCACCGGCAGGGACCGCAGGTGGGGGGAGCGAACGCACAGCGCTCCCTCCCAGCCCCAACACCACGACCGAGGTGCCCCTGAGCAAGGCACCGAACCCCCAACTGCCCCCCTTTGCGCCGCAGCAAAATGGCTGCCCACTGCTCCGGGCGCGTGCCCACCACTGCGCGTGTGCACCTCGGATGGGACAAACGCAGAGCACCAACTCCGAGCATGGGTCACCACACTTGGCCACACGCCACATCACTTTTCCATTTAACAGCGATGCCTTACTAGCCGATTAAACTTCAATAGCTATTGAACCCTGTAAAAGCATAAGGAAAGCCTTTACACGAAGATTTTGCACGACTTTAAAGCAGACGTCATGAATGAGCATACACTGACCAGGACGTTAAAGTCACGGGGCATGACTAATTTTTTACAGAACTGTAGTAATTATAACCTCTAAGTCCAAACATTGACAAGTTGAGGAGGAAATCCAGAGAGGAAGTCATGTCTATAAACAGGAAGTACGTAAAACACAGACTATAGAAAGGCCTTGACGAGTACGAGTTCCGAGATAGAATACTTAAATGCTCACCACATAGAAAAAGAGCACCAGCTAGTTATTTATCGGAGCAGACTAATGTCACATAGCTAAGCTAGAGCTAATTACCTTAAATATAATATGTCTAGCTAAGCTAGAGCTAATTACCTTAAGTATAATATGTCCCGAGAATAGTAAAAGAATAACAGATTAGACGAAACTGATGAAATTCTAAGTTAGTCCATATATTGTGCATTGGGAAAACTTTCATGTTTGAGCATAGCAAGAAAACATGTCCATTTACATTCTTGCTCTTATTCAGAGGACGCTTATGCAGAAATAGACAGTGGGGACCTCTTTGCAGAAATGGTCTACGCAACAGGAGAGACTTAAGTCGTGATACTTACCCCATTCCGGTACAAGGCATTCAGGAATTGTTGTAGATAGACACGAATTAAACAATGACTGAAGAAACAAAGACAAAGCATATGATTAAGACTACAAATACCTTACAGTGTGCTAGACATAGCGTATAATGCGAGCAACAATCTTTATCAGTGTAAAGATTGTAAGCCTATACAAATGAGCCTCAAGATGCCTCATTATGAAGAGTTGTTCCAAACATTGAATGTATTGAATTAGTTAGAGCGACATCTCGGTAAATATTATAACTTTGGTTGGAAACGGGTTTGTAATACTCCTCATATAAGTAAATGTATTGAAAATATTTTATGGTCTTGTTTCTATTAAATGCAGGTTAAGATATCACGCTTGCAAAGATGAATCGTGCAGCATTATGTGACTATGAATCGTGAACTCTGGACTCAGTACTGTAATCTATATTACAGAAGATGCTAAGCAGGGTTATT